GAGCAGGGAGCCTGATGTGGGACTCGATCCCGGGACTCCAGGATCATGACCTGAGCCGAAGGCAGTCGCTTAACCAACTGAGCCACCCAGGCGCCCCAGAACCATTTATTTTTTACCTTACGATGTCCTAGCAAGCTCCAGATCCACGAACCCCGACAGCTTCCCCAGACTGGTGGTTTTGTCTCCCTACGTTTGGAAGTCTGAGGATCGGGGCGGCACCAGGACGATCTAGGTTCCTGTGTTAGCTTCCTATGGCTGCAACTAGCACACATCTATCAGTTTAAAACAGTGCAAACTTATTCTCTTGCTCTTCTGTAGGTTAGAAGTCTGACACGGGGCCTCAGTGGGTTACCATAAAGGCCTTGGGAACTGCAACCCTGCTTGGAGGCTCTAGAGGGAAATCTGGGTCCTTGTCCTCCACTTTCCGGAGGTGCCCATGTTCCTTGGCTCGTGGCCTCCCGCTGCCTTCCAGGTCAGCACTGTTGCATCTGTCTGACCTTCTCCGAGTCTCTTCTGCCTCTCTCTCCCCTTGTGATTACATTGGATCTACCCGCATAATGCAGCATGATCACCCTATTTTAAGGTCACCTGATTAGCAGCCTTAATTCCCTCCTGCAGGTAACACAGCACATTTCCAGGCTCCAGGGAACAGGACACGGACATTTGGCGGGGGGCCCTTCTTCTGCCTCCTACACTCCCTGTAAGCTGTATTACCGCAGGAAGCCAGAGCGTGGCTTGGTCCTGAGAGAAGACAGTGATGGTGAATTGCTGTCTTGGCCAGATTGGGGCGGGGAGGTGCTCTGGATCCTCCCAGTGATGGATGTTGAGAGGAAAGCGTTTGCCAAATCAGTTGTGCACAGCCCATCTGACCGGTTCTGCCACCTGTTCAAGTTCATTGTCGTCCGTCTTCTTCCACCATTAATCATCTGTTTTCTGCAAAGGCCGGATAGGTGAATTCAATGGAGGTATGATGGGGACCACTACTCCTGCTCTCCTCAAACCTGTCTGTCTTGGGTCTTTTCTTTTCTTTTTTTTTTTTAGTTAAGGCTTTATTTTTTTTAGAGCAGTTTTAGGTTCCCTTCAATTGAGGGGAAGGTACAGAGATTTCCCATACACCCCCTACCCCTGCTCATGTACAATCTCCCCAATTATCATCATCCCCACTAGTGGTGCATTTGTTACGGTCGATGAACCTACACGGGGACATGATCATGAAGCATCATCATCACCCAGCGTCTAGCTGACCTCAGGTCTCACTCCAGGTGCTGGACCTTCCATGGGTTTGGACAAACGTGTCATGACGTGCGTCCACCAGTAGAGTGTCTACAGAGTAGACTCCCTGCCCTAAATCCTCTGGGCTCTGACTGTCCCTCCCTCCCCCCAACCCCTGGCGACCACTCATCTGTCTCCATGGTTCTGCCTTTTCCAGAGTGTCAGAGACCTGGAATCACACAGTATGGAGCCTTTTCCAACTGGCTTCTCTCACTTAGCAATATGCATTTAAGGTCCCTCCGTGTCTTTCCATGGCTCGAGAGCTCATTTCTATGTAGCGCTGAATGACATCCCATCGTCTGGATGAACTGCGGGTCACGTATCTGTTCACCTACCGAAGGACGTCTCGGTTGCTTCCAGGTTTTGGTGACTCTGAATAAAGCTGTTACATACATCCATGCACAGGTCTTGATGTGGCTATAAGTTTTCAACTCTTTGGGGTAAATCCAAGGGCCATGGTTGCTGGATCACATGGTAAGAGCATGTTTAATTTTGTAAGAAATCTCTAAACCGTCCTGCAAAGTGGCTGCACCGTTCTGCTCTCCCACCAGCCATGAGTGAGCGTTCCTGTTGCTCCGCGTCCTCACCAGCATCTGGTGTCATCGGTGCTCTGGATTTTGGCCATTCCAGCAGGTGTGTCATGGGATCTCGTTGTTTTGTGTTTCCCTGATGACATACGATGTGGAGCATCTTTTATATGCTTATTCGCCATCTGTGTATCTTCTTTGATGAGGTGTCTGTTAAGGTCTCTGGCCCATTCTTTAACTGTGTTGTTTCCTCACTGTCGAGTGTCAGGAGTTCTTGGAATATACTGGGTAACATGTCTTTACCAGATACGTCTTTTGCAAACATTTTCTCCCATCTGTGGCTTGTCTTCTTTTTTTTTTTTTTTTGAAGATTTTATTTATTTATTTGACAGAGAGAGAGATAGCGAGAGCAGGAACACAAGCAGGGGGAGTGAGAGAGCGAGAAGCAGGCTTCCTGCCGAGCAGGGAGCCCGATGTGGGACTCGATCCCAGGACCCTGGGATCATGACCTGAGCTGAAGGCAGACGCTTAACGACTGAGCTACCCAGGCACCCTGTGGCTTGTCTTCTCACTCTGACAGTTCTTTCACAGAGCAAAAGCCCAGCATATCGATTATTTCTTTGACGGATTATGCCTTTGATGTATCTAACAGTCATCACCATACCCAGGGTCATCTAGGTTTTCTCCTATGTCCTTTCTAGAGCTTTATAGTTTTGCATTTTACATTTAGGTCTGTGATCCATTTTTTATAAATATTTATTTATCTATTTATTTATTTGAGAGAGAGTGTGCGCACACAAGTGGGGAGAGGGACAGAAGAAGAGAATCTTCAAGCAGACTCCCCGCTGAACACAGAGCCCAACACAGGGCTCAATCCCATGACCCTGACATGATGGCCTGAGCTGAAACCAAGAGTTAGACGCTTAACTGAGTGAGACACCCTGGCACCCCTGTGATCCATATTTTTAAAAAGATTTTGTTTTTTAAAGTAATAGCTACAGCCAACGTAGGGCTCAAACCTACAACTCAAGAATTGGACAATTGGATCAAGAATTGGACACTCCACTCTGAGCCCGCCAGGTGCCCCTGGTCTATGATCCATTTTGAGTTAATCTTTGTGAAGGGTGTACGGTGTGTGCCTAGATTTTTTTTATATGGATGACCAGTGTCCCACCACCATTTGTTGAAAGGACTGTCTTTGCTCCTTTGTAGAGATCAGTTGACTATATTTATATGGGTCCCTCAAGTCTTTGATGTTGCTGTTAATCTCTACAATTCCTCTAGGAAAGTACTATTTCTATCTTGTTCACTATCTTGGTGGGTATGGGTAGGTTCCATGGGCTCCCACTTGGCTCTTCCTGCTATAATAACCCCATTGGTCAAGGACCCAATGTGAGCATTCTGCCGGTGGCTAATTATATCTATCCCAGCTTACTGGACAGACCCATGGACCTGTGTCTAGTGGCAGTGGACTCAAGCCACGGCGCCATCTTTGATTCATCTCCATTCTATAGACAGAGGACCCGGATGCTACTGCAAATCTGCAGTCTCAGGATCAGTTTAGATACTGTATCTAAGAGTCCTCAAAAAGTCTGTGTATTCCCCTTGCCCCCCGTGTACAGTTAATCCTGGTAAAGGGCCACCGACTCCTCTGAGGAAGGACTGGGAGAATATTCAGTGTCAGGAGAGAACTTGTGACATTGCTGGATCCTCCTTCAAGGGCAACTGGCTTCCCCTCCGGTCTGAGAGCTGTGAGTCTTTGACCTTGGTGCTTGTCTGGGAGCAGTGAGGGACTGTGGTGGCTGATGTCAGATTTCTGATTGGCAGAGCCTGGTGTTTTTCTGGTTTTACAAATTGAGCAGCACCCTACACACTGCCCATCCGCCCCATTCCAGGTCAGAACGTCGTGACCACCACTCGGGCTTGCTGCCCCTCACGACCATCGACACTGTCTTGCACGACTTAACCTCTCCTCTTCTAGAATCTGGCCATTCCTCCCCCACCCCCCAAGAATGAGCTCTGCATTCACTCACAAGTGTCTTTCTTCTTGTTCTAGTGAAGGGAGCCTTCTCTGAGCCTTTGCAAGGATCCTAGTCAGGTGAAGCGTTTACAGACTAACATTAACCATTTCCTGCAAAAAAAAAAAAAAGTTTTTTGGAAGCAGGCTACTTCTTCCTGGAGCCGACTTGCACTTCCCTGCTCAATCTGTTCTGACCCCTGACTGGTTACCAGCCTGGGTGCAGTGAGGGGTGATGGGGGCCTGTACTTGGGCTGAGGTCATGACATGGTTCAGAAAAACTACTCTCATCCTGGCACAGAGCCCGCTGCATGGTCCTTGCTGGGGTGGCGTGAGAACAAGCGGACAGGAAAGAGGAAATCCCTTCTAACCCCCCGCCCCGTACCCCCTGTTGGCAGAACACAACAGGAAGCTGGCTGGGGAGCAGCGTGGTGCAGTCCCAGCATTCCAGAGCAGAACAGAGGAGGACCTGCTCCAGCCCTTCGGCTGCGGCCTCCGCTCGCGCCTTCACGCGCTCGTGAACTTCCCCTTGCAATGCCTCTGCCCAACGAAATGCATCCTCTGTAGGGATGAAGATGTTCTCACTGTCCTTCCATCAGCACACCTCTGACTGATGTTCATTACACCCCAGATTCCTTCATGTTCCACCTGGAACCTGGATCTTCTGACACTTAAATACTAAATGGTATAAAGTTTCCCAGTATCAGCAAGTCTGACATAAAAAAAATGAGAGAATAAGGGGCGCCTGGGTGGCTCAGTCGTTAAGCGTCTGCCTTCGGCTCAGGTCATGATCCCGGGGTCCTGGGATCGAGCCCTGCGTCGGGCTCCCTGCTCCGCGGGGAGCCTGCTTCTCCCTCTCCCACTCCCCCTGCTTGTGTTCCCTCTCTCTCTGTGTCTCTCTCTGTCAAATAAATAAAATCTTTAAAAATAAAATAAAATAAAACAAAAAAATAAAAAAGTTAGAGAATAGAGTAGAAAAAGATATTAGTTAATATATACAAATATATGTAACAAATGAGGAGGAAGATACGCACCCTGTTCCTGAGGCCGATCGTGGCTCTTAGAACTTCTCCCACTGCCCCTTTCATGTGCCCTTTGCCCTCAGCTAGGGCGTCAGTGGGCTTGGGTTCTCTCCCTGAAGGGTGTGAATCCTCATGGGCTCTCGTCCCCCAGGGGACACCTGGGTTCCAGACATAGTCCTCCTGGTCCCCGTGAGGACCAGGGAGCTGACCCCTATTGGAAGTCAGGACACGTCGCCCCAGCTCGTACGGAAATGCCCTTCTTTGAGTGTCAGGTTCGTGCACGGGCAGAGGCCTCCCTCTGCGGTTCGAGCCATTCTTCCGTCGCCTGGTGGAAGCATTCGCTGGGAGCTGAGACCTCCCCCGGCAGACCTCAGAGCCCTGCAGACGAGAAGCACAACTACTGTGGGTAGATCACGGGGACGCTGGCGACAGAAGCCACTCCTGCTTCTGCCTCCTGGTTGCGGGACGGGTGTGTGCTCGCTGTGGCGGGAGCAGCCCCGTGTTAGTTATCAGTTGCTGCTTCACACCTCCCACATCTGGTGGCTCCGGTGTCATCTCTCAGTCCTGTGGGTCGGGCGTCCAGGCACAGCCCACGGGAGGCTCTCTCGGGCTGCGGTCTTATCCCAGGGCTTGACCGGGGAAGGGTTTGCTTCTTTGTGGGCCGTTGGGTGAGAACCTTGCTTCCTCCTGGCTGTCGGTCCTGCCACATGGGCTGCTCCGGAGGCCGTCTTACAGCATCTAAGGGACACGTCCAGGAACTGGGGGGAATAACCATATGGTGGGTCTGCGAGCGGGGGCCCAGATCCCACTGTCTCCTGCCCAGGGATGCCCCCATGCCCCCTGGGGGACCATCGCGGTGTCTGAGGTCTGGCTATACTGTCGCTCCCCCAGGGACGGTCACCCACGTCAACGGACAGGGGTTGTTTGGGAGGCTGGGACAGGTCGCCGGGTTCCTCCCAAGGGGATCCACGGTGCTGCTTTGGTTCATTGTGATACTGTTTCTTTTTTTTTTTTTTAAAGATTTTATTTATTTATATGACAGAGAGACACGGCGAGAGAGGGAACACAAGCAGGGGGAGTGGCAGAGGGAGAAGCAGGCCTCCTGACGAGCAGGGAGCCCGATGCGGGGCTCGATCCCAGGACCCCGGGATCACGACCTGAGCCGAAGGCAGACGCTTAACGACTGAGCCACCCAGGTGCCCCATTGTGATACTGTTTCTTGCCATGGATTACTGCAGCTCAGTTCCTGTTGGCAAGGAGCTCAGCTATGGTATTTGTATTCCATTGGTAAAGTAAGTGTTTTATTTTAAAATTTCACCACTATACCAGAAATTGGATCCTTTGCAACTATTTAAACTTGTTAGGAAAAATTTTAAACATCAACTTTAAAATGGGCAGGGAGGTACATAGTTTTACATTCTTTTTTTAAAAAACGATTTTATTATTTGAGAGAGAGTACGAGCAGGGGGAGAGGGAGAGGGAGAACCAGACTCCCTGCTGAGCAGGGAGCCCGATGCGGGGCTCGATCCCAGGACCCCGGGATCATGACCTGAGCCGAAGGCAGACGCTTAAGCGACTGAGCCACCTAGGCCCCCCCATAGTTTTGCATTCTTAAATGAGATATGCAAGTTTGATGACTGAGTTCTAGAGAGCTGGAATTTTTTTTAAGGTTTATTTATTGAAGTAGAGGCACCTGGGTGGCTCAGTTGGTTGAGCATCCAACTCTTGATTTCAGCTCAGGTCCTAATCTCAGGGTCCTGGGATCGATTAACCACAAAACTGAAACCCAAGTCCGCACCCTAGGAAGCAGGTGGAGTGGCTATCCCTGTTCTCGGGGCTCACGTGGTGATTTCCTGACAGGCACGTACACGCCTGGATTTTGTGTTCATGTGCCTCAGTCTCGCGTCTGTAACATGTAAGATTGTTTTCACAAGGTCACAAAAAGCCCCCTCAGCCTTTGATCTGGGAATTTAGGGGTGTTTCACTTGCCGCTGTCTTCCGAGGGCCCCGCGGTTCTTGAAACGTGCACGTTCTTCTACTCTGACCCTCTCGCAGCGAGAGCACAGAGAGAGGAACACCTGCGGGGGTGGGGTTCCACCAGCCTGGGAAAGGTGCGCCATACTAGATGGCGCCCCCCAAAATCCATTTCCTCATAACAGTGTGAAGCCATGCCAGAAAGTCGCCCACCCTGTCACCGTTCGGAGCGGGGCAGTGTGGAGACGTGCCGGTCTCCTGCTTCTGCCGCCTGCTTCCTCCGGGTGGCCGCAGGTGGCTTCGCACGCGGGCCCTGAGGCCAGCGTTGCTCCTGGCCTTGCCTCCCC